ATGTATGTGATGGTTATACAAATTAAAATAAGTCCAGTAAAAGAAAATATTAACTGCCCAACACAAGAAAAGATATTTCACTTTTTGTAGTTTTACAACATGGGGTCTATGGAGAATCTCCCCGACCTAGAAGTCACATTTTCAAAGAAAATTAAATTCTCAAAGTTGATCAACTCTTTTCAAAACCACACTTTTAGATGTAATTTTTTATGAAGATTCCAAATATGACACCAGTTAGACTGAATTGTGAATTTTTTTTAATGACGTAAATCAAGATTATTTCTACTCGCATTAAGGATATTCAACCAATATGGCTTGATCACTGGTTATAATTATCACACTACTATACCCCATTACATTTAAATATATTCCAAGTGTTCTACTATACATTGTACAGATTCATGAACAGTTTGCAACGTATTATTACCAGAAAGCCCAAATAGACAAAGATAGAGAATACCTGCCCCATTTGCAACTCAACTTTAAATGTCTAATTTTTACACTTGTATTCTCATGAAGCTCCTGAAACATCTGAAAATATCAAATAATACATAGTACTAGTACTAGTACTAGAATAGCAACAACTTTGTTAAAGTCTATACTTTGAAATTGTTTGGTTTTTATATTTCTGGTTATTTTTTCAAAATGGGTTAGGGTCCACCCGTGTAGCTCAGCGGTAGCGCAGGTACCTCTTACGGTTCAGGCAAGACTAAAAAATTTGCTTGTTTGCGTGAAGTACTTCAGGGTGTTTGACTGAGTGGTCCGCAACTCGTACAAAAGGATGTGGTGTGTACTTGTATGTCTATGTATAAGTGCACATGAAAGAACACAAGGAGGGGCTTCTGGGTCTATCTTCCATGTTAATTACGTAAATTACGACCGTATATATACGGGACATACCCAAGAGGTATTGCTCACCTTCATTGGTGGTAAAACAAAATACAATACAATACAAGTTAGGTGAGATATGTAAGCTCTCATTTCATGTCATTTCATATCACATGTTTAAATACCTTAAATCAAAGTAGGCAGGCAAAAGAACAGATTTGTTCAAGAATCCATCAACCAATCAGCATAAAACTCAAGATAAAAGGAAATACAGTAATGTTATTGCTAAACGTGGAAATGATGAAAAATTGATGAAAAATGCCAAATTTTGTTCTTAAATGTCTAATTTCTAGACACTAGTATATTAATGAAGGTCCTGAAACATTAATTATACCATTCAATAACATATAAGGAATGGCTACATCTTTGTTAAAGTTTATACTGGTAATTTGAAGTTTCCGGTCATCTTCCATAATAAATGGGGTAGGGGAGATCTGAAAGCTCTAATATGAACATTGTTTGTCCACTATACATTATTAATACCTTAAATGGAAGAAGACATGTACAAGAACAGATTTAATCAAAAATGCATCAACCAGTCAGCATAAAACTCAAGATATAAGGATTCATATGTTAATGCTGAAAGCGAAAATGATTAAAAAATGACAAGTTTTGTCCTTAAATGTCTCATTTCTAGTCACTTGAATACCAATAAAGGTTTTTAAAAATCTTAAAAACATTAAATAACACATAATATTGATATAGAACAGCTACAACTTTATTAAAGTTTATAATTTCAAGTTATTTTACATTTTCATATTTCTCAATAATTTTCCATAATAGATGGGGTAGGGGATATCTGAAAGCTCTAATATGAACATTATTTGTCTACTATACATTTTCTATTTCTTAAATGGAAGAAGACATGCACAAGAACAGATTTGATTGAAAATGAAACAATCAGACAGCATAAAACTCAAGATATGAGGAACTATATATTACTGCTGAAAGCGAAAATGATAAAGAAATGCAAAGTTTTGTCCTTAAATGTATCATTTCTAGCCACTTGTATACCGATAAAGGTTCTGAAATATCTTAAAAACATTAAATAACACATAATATTGATATAGAATAGCTACAACTTTGTTAAAGTTTATGATGTCAAGTTATTTTATTTTTTCATATTTTTGGGTAATTTTGCATTATAAATGGGGTAGGGGAGATCTCAACGCTCTCATATGAACATTGGTTGTCCACTATACATTTTCTATACCTTAAATGGAAGAACACATGTACAAGCACAGATTTAATCAAAAATGCAACAACCAGTCAGCATTAAATTCAAGATATAAGGAACTATATGTTAATGCTGAAAGCGAAAATGATTAAAAAATGCCAAATTTTGTCCTTAAATGTCACATTTCTAGACACAAGTACACTAATGAAGGTCCTGAAACATCTGAGAAACCTAACATAACACATAATATTGATATAGAATAGCTACAACTTTGATTGAGTTGAACATTTTGACTTTTTGTAGTTTCCATTTTTAGCCAATTATTTTCTAAAATATTCAAGGTATGTCTTCTTCGGAACAGAATTTAGATATGTTCGCAAGAGTTATATGCTTCGCAGGCGAAATCCCTTCTGCAGGACACCCTAATAGAATAAAAAATACACAGAAATTCCATCCAGCTCAAAAAGTCATTTTTTCCTTAACGGAGCCTCTTAGAAAATTTTCCACCCCGAGTAAAAGGGTTAACGCATTAAAAAGGCAAGACTGAACTAAACTTGTTGTATTGGGGAGAAAACTTACGTATATACTTTGTCTAAATAACCATGTAGAAATAGACACCCTCACTGGTGATCCACTCGATTACGCTGGTTACCAAAACGGTTCGTTTTGGTAACAAAATGTCGGAACATCCGGAAGGTACGATTTTTCTCGTTTACTTATTTTACACGTTGTAGGCAGAATTCCCACGACATTTTTTAACACAAACGTGTATCAGTATCATATGTTTAAGAAAGTGTACATATTTGCGAACAAAATAGTTCAGAAGACAACAGAATCGTCGATTTACTTCCTCACTTAAGTTACATAAACGGTTTGGGTTAAAAGTGCAGATCTTAACTGTTTTTCGAAAAACCGTTTATGTAACTTAAGTGAGGAAGTAAATCGATGATTATGTTGTCCTCTGAGCTATTTTTTCGCAAACATGTACATTTTCTAAAACATATGATACTGATGCACGTTGTGAGAAAAAACGTCGTGGGGATGCTGCCTACAACGCGTGAAATAAGGAAAAAAGAAAAATCGTGCCTTCGACGTTCCGACATTTTGTTACCAAAACGGTTCGTTTTGTTAACCAGCGTAATCGAGTGGATCACCAGTGACCCTATAAACATATTTCCCTAAGTTCATCACCATACTAAGATTAGTGCGTTTTAGGACGTTTACTAATCCAATTGGTAAATCTACAATCGTAGTGTGCGAAACATACCCGACAAACAATTTCTACGTATAGTTATACTGTAACTTATATTCGGTAAAGTTCATGTTTAAAAAAAGAACTGAACATTGATGATGATCACAATCCTTTATTAAAAATTCTCATCTCACACACATGCATATTATTACTAACTAAAAAATTAAAAAGTCCATGGGGCCGCCATTAAGGGGATTTAGGGGCCTAAATTTTTTGCTCAACATTTGTTTTTTGTTCCTGATTTGAAATTTGCCCCTTCCTTGTTAGCTTCTGGATCCGCCAGTGTGTCCCGTTTAAGAATCCCTATTCTTACCATTGACAATGGATTCTAGCAATACCCTTCCACAGGCTGAATGTACTTGTTGAGATTAAATCAACTTTAACTCGATCGAGTTCTTCTGAGAAAATGATGATTTCATCAAGGGTGCATTGACATATAGTAACATGTTTATATACATCCCGATGCTGTGTCATTGGTCAATGGTGTAGGCTATGTCCCCAAAAAAGTCAATGCACTCTTGCTGTAATCTTGCACGAATGAATACAAACAGACTTAGTTTGAACATTTTTGGAACTGATGCAAACCAGGGAGTATAGCAGAGCAAAAAGGAAATAAAAGTCAATCAAGTCGAAATGAACATACCTGTTATATAAGGGTCAGATATACTGTGCAATCATATTAAGTGCAGGTTTTATTCTTAGAAGAAACCAAAAGAGAATACACGGGAGAAAGCATGATGAGGCCAATGAGTAATAGAGAAACAACAAAATATCAATTGAATATTTTTTTAGTTCTCCTTTTAATGAATTGATTATCTTTCTGATAATTTGTTCCAAAGCTGGGGTATTGAAACAGATAAAGATTATTTGCCATAATTTGTACAAAATTTAGGTTGGTCATAAGTCATTCTATTTCTGGTGTGATAAGTTAGATGTTTGATCATAGTGTTGCTAGAATTCATTTTCAATAGTAAGAATAGGGGTTCTTAAACAGGACATTGGGCCTGGTTTTTAGAACTTGTTGTTGGTACTTTATACATACACCGCTCAAAAGCTTACTGAAAGTGACAGCAAGATGGTTGAAACATTTTCTAAAAAAGCGTGCAACATATTCTGGATACTGTGATATGTGTCATGCGAACAATTCTACTTGAAATAATGTCTCACAAATGGTTCCCTTATTAAGGCCAATAAATGGAAAAAATAGTGAAGTGTTATGCTAAATTATTCAATGTTTTAACAACTAGTCTCTCCAAGGTAAACCCTAGACGAAGTGATACCAGTCGGCCTAAATCGAGTGGAATCGAGTAAGGAAAAAACGATCTACCAAAAGGAAACGTAGTAGACCAGCGATGAATTTTACTTCTTAAAATTAGACACTTTATTGGACACATGGCATGTCGAAACTCGGTGCATTGATCCAAGACATATCAATCTTTAGGTAGGTCATCTTATAAAGATTATACTAAGAAATGAAATGAATATGAATTGGAAAGTTTATTGAATATTGGCATGACCTTTTCAATGATTTTCGAAAATGGTAGATTTTCCATTGATATTTAAGAACCCCAGAGTCACTTGTTGCTCAGAATGGTGAAAAACTGCATGCGTTTGATTTTGAAAGGATTTTCGGGCGGGGAGTGGGGCTCTGATACGAAACAAAATATGACCATTTACATTGTCGTTTTAGTAAACCTGGAAGGTCCATGGGAACTACAGTATTGTCCAGAAAGTTTGAAAAATCGGAAAATTAGAAAGCATGAATGAAATATCAGAATTTTTTTGGATTACCATTGATTGGTTACGTCACTACTACGCGTTCGATTCTTGAATTAACAATTGGCAAATTAGACCCATTTTTGTATGAAACGCTTCTATGTCTGTACAAATTACACCTTAGAAAAGTTGTACTATTTTGGTAGGATCGTCTTTCAACACATTCACTGGATTTATACATTTTTCTTCGTCTAGGATGACGGTAAAATGTGAAGTTCTGTTTCATATGAAAATGATTTCCTTCCCGGTCATCAGATATTGTCGTTTCCATGGAAACAAGTTTACAAGTCTGCCTTTTCAATGTCTGATTTGCCGATTCCTTCCATGCAGCCTCCTGTTCAATTCAACTAATGAAACATCTTCCTTGTCAGCAGATTTTGTTGTTTCAATGGAAACGAGTTCAAGGGTCTTTGCTTCTTCAGCATTCTCATTTATTCTGTGCCTACAACTTTGTCCTGGTCACCAGATTTTGCTGCTTCGGCGGAAACGAGTTGATCAGTCTTTGCTTCTTCAACATTCCCATTTGAAGATTCCATGCTTGCAACTATTTCCTGGTCAGTAGATTTTGTTGTTTTCGTGGAAACGGGTTCATCAGTCTTTGCTTCTTCAACATTCCTATTAGCTGATTTCCTGCCTGCAGCCTCCTTTCCACTTTCACTAAATGCAACTTCTTCCGGGTCAGCAGATTTTGTTGTAACCATTGAAACGAGTTCACGAATCTTTATTTCTACATTCTCATTTTTCGATTCCTTGCTTGCAGCCTCCTTTTCATTTCCACTAAATGCAACTTCTTCAAGGTCAGCAGACTTCGATGAAAGTATTGAAAGGAGTTTATGAATCTTTGCTTCAACATTCTCATTTGTGGATTCCTTGTCTTCAATTATTCCCTGGTCATCAGATTTCTTTGTTTCGGCGGAAACGAGTTCATCAGTCGTTGCTTTTTCAACATTCTCATTTGAAGATTCCTTGCCTGCAACTGTTTCCTGGTCAGCAGATGTTGTGTCCGTGGATACGAGCTGTTCATCAGTCTTTGCTTCTTCAACAGCCTCATTTGTGGATTCCTTGCCTGTAACTATTTCCTGATCTGCAGATGTTGTTGTGTCCGTGGATACGAGCTGTTCATCAATCTTTGCTTCTTCAACATTCTCTTTTGTGGATTCCTTGCCTGCAACTATTTCCTGATCAGCAGATGTTGTTGTTTCCGTGGAATCGAGTTCATCAATCTTTGCTTCTTCAACATTCTCTTTTGTGGATTCCTTGCCTGCAACTATTTCCTGGTCGGCAGATGTTGTTGTTTCCGTTGAAACGAGCTGCTCATCAGTCTTTGATTCTTCAACATTCTCTTTTGAGGATTCCTTGCCTGCAACTATTTCCTGGTCAGCAGATATTGTTGTTTCCGTTGAAACGAGTTTTTCATCAGTCTTTGCTTCTTCAACATTATCTTTTGAGGTTTCCTTGCCTGCAACTATTTCCTGGTCAGCAGATGTTGTTGTTTCCGTTGAAACGAGTTGTTCATCAGTCTTTCCTTCTTCAACATTCTCATTTGTTGATTTCTTGCCTGCAACTACTTCCTGGTCAGCAGATGTTGTTGTTTCCGTTGAAACGAGCTGTTCATCAGTCTTTGCTTCTTCAACATTCTCATTTGTTGATTTCTTGCCTGCAACTACTTCCTGGTCAGCAGATGTTGTTGTTTCCGTTGAAACGAGCTGTTCATCAGTCTTTGCTTCTTCAACATTCTCATTTGTGGATTCCTTGCCTGCAACTATTTCCTGGTCAGCAGATGTTGTTGTTGCCGTGAAAACAATTTCATCAGTCTTTGCTTCTTCAACATTCTCTTTTGAGGATTCCTTGCCTGCAACTGTTTCCTGGTCAGCAGATGTTGTTGTTTCCGTTGAAACGAGCTGTTCATCAGTCTCTGCTTCTTCAGATTTTGTTGTTTCCGAGGAAACGAGCTGTTCACCAGTCTTTGCTTCTTCAACATTCTCATTTGTGGATTCCTTGCTTGTAATTATTCCCTGGTCAGCAGATTTTGTTGGGTCCGTGGATACGAGCTGTTCATCAGTCTTTGCTTCTTCAACATTCTCTTTTGTGGATTCCTTGCCTGCAACTATTTCCTGATCAGCAGATGTTGTTGTGTCCGTGGATACGAGCTGTTCATCAATCTTTGCTTCTTCAACATTCTCTTTTGTGGATTCCTTGCCTGCAACTATTTCCTGATCAGCAGATGTTGTTTCCGTGGAATCGAGTTCATCAATCTTTGCTTCTTCAACATTCTCTTTTGTGTATTCCTTGCCTGCATCTATTTCCTGGTCAGCAGATGTTGTTGTTTCCGTTGAAACGAGCTGTTCATCAGTCTTTGCTTCTTCAACATTCTCTTTTGTGGATTCCTTGCCTGCAACTATTTCCTGGTCAGCAGATGTTGTTGTTTCCGTTGAAACGAGCTGTTCATCAGTCTTTGCTTCTTCAACATTCTCTTTTGAGGATTCCTTGCCTGCAACTATTTCCTGGTCAGCAGATGTTGTTGTTTCCGTTGAAACGAGCTGTTCATCAGTCTTTGCTTCTTCAACATTATCATTTGTTGATTCCATGCCTGCAACTACTTCCTGGTCAGCAGATGTTGTTGTTTCCGTTGAAACGAGCTGTTCATCACCCTTTGCTCCTTCAACATTGTCATTTGTAGATTCCTTGCCTGCAACTATTTCCTGGTCAGCAGATGTTGTTGTTTCCGTTGAAACGAGCTGTTCATCAGTCTTTGCTTCTTCAACATTCTCTTTTGAAGATTCCTTGCCTGCAACTATTTCCTGGTCAGCAGATGTTGTTGTTTCCGTTGAAACGAGCTGTTCATCAGTCTTTGCTTCTTCAACATTCCCTTTTGAGGATTCCTTGCCTGCAACTGTTTCCTGATCAGCAGATGTTGTTGATTCCGTGGAAACGATTTCATCAATCTTTCCTTCTTCAACATTCTCTTTTGTGGATTCCTTGCCTGCAACTGTTTCCTGATCAGCAGATGTTGTTGTGTCCGTGGATACGAGCTGTTCATCACCCTTTGCTTCTTCAACATTCTCATTTGTTGATTCCTTGCCTGTAACTATTACCTGGTCAGCAGATTTTGTTGTTTCCGTTGAAACGAGCTGTTCACCAATCTTTGCTTCTTCAACATTCTCATTTGTTGATTCCTTGTTTGTAATTATTCCCTGGCCAGCAGATTTTGTTGTTTCTGTGGAAGAAAATTCATCAGTCTTTGCATTTTCAACTTTCTCATTTGTAGATTCATTACCTGCAAGCATTTCCTGGTCAGCAGATGTTTTTGTTTCTGTGGAAGCAAGTTCATCAGTCTTTGCTTCTTCAACATTTTCATTTGCTGATGTAACCATAGAAACAAGTTCATGAATCTTTGCTTCTAAACTCTCATTTGTTGATTCCTTGCTTGCATCCTCCTTTTCATTTCCACTAGATGCAAATCCTCTAAGGTCAGCAGATTCTGATGTAAGCATTGACAGGAGTTTATGAATCTTTGTCTCAACATTCTCATTTTTCGATTCCTTGCCCGAAGCTACTTCCTGGTCAGCAGATTTTGTTGTTTCTGTGGAAGCAAGTTCATCAGTCTTTCCTTTTTCAACATTCTCATTTAAAGATTCCTTGCCTGCAACTATTTCCTGGTCAGCAGATTTTGTTGATTCAATGGTAATGAGTTTATCAGTCTTTGCTTCTTCAATATTCTCATTTGTGGATTGCTTGCCTGCAACTATTTCCTGGCCAGCGGAATTTGTTGTTTCCAGTGAAACGAGTTCAAGAGTCTTTGCTTCTTGAACACTCTGATTTGTAGATTCGGTGTCTGCAATTATTTCCTGATATGCAGATATTGTTGTTTCCGTGGAAACAAGCTGTTCAACAGTCTTTGCTTCTTCATTATTCTCATTTGTCGATTCTTTGCCTGCAACTATCTCCTGGTCAACAGATTTTGATGTTTCCGTTTTCTCAATTGTGGATTCCTTGCCTGCAACTATTTCTTGGTCAGCAGATGTTGTTATTTCCATGGAATTGAGCTGCTCACCAGTCTTTGCTTCTTCAACATTTTCATTTATGGATTCCTTGCCTGCAACTATTTCCTGGTCAGCAGATATTGTTGTTTCCTTGGAAACGAGCTGTTCATCAATCTTTGCTTCGTCTACATTCTCATTTGTTGATTCCTTGCCTGTAACTATTACCTGGTCAGCAGGTTTTGTTGTTTCCCTGGAAATGAGTTCATCAGTATATGACTCTTCACCATTCTCATTTGTGGATTCCTTGCTTGCAACCATTTTCTGGTCAGCAGATGATGTTGCCTCCATGAAAACGAGTCCACAAGTATTTGCTTCTTCAACTTTCTCATTTGTTGATTCCTTGCCTGTAACTATTTCCTGGTCAGAAGATTTGGTTGTTTCCGGGGAAACGAGCTGTTCATCACTCTTTGCTTCTTCAACATTCTCATTTGTAGATTCATTGTCTGCAACTACTTCCTGGTCAGCAGATTTTGTTGATTCCATGGAAACAAGTTCATCAATCTTTGTTTCTTCAACATTCTCATTTGCTGTTGTAACCATAGAAACGAGTTCACGAATCTTTGCTTCTACACTCTCATTTGTTGATTCCTTGCTTGCAGCCTCCTTTTCATTTCCACTAAATGCAAATCCTCCAAGGTCACCAGATTTTGATGTAAGCATTGAGAGGAGTTTATGAATCTTTGCGTCAACATTGTCATTTGTGGATTCCTTGCCCAAAACTACATCCTGGTGATCAGATTTTGTTGATTCGGCAGAATCGAGTTCATCAATCTTTGCTTCTTCAACATTCTCATTTGTGGATTCCTTGCCTGCAACTATTTCCTGGTCAGCAGATGTTGTTGTTTCCGTTGAAACGAGCTGTTCATCAGTCTTTGCTTCATCAACATTCTCTTTTGAGGATTCCTTGCCTGCAACTATTTCCTGGTCAGCAGATGTTGTTGTTTCCGTTGAAACGAGCTGTTCAACAGTCTTTGCTTCTTCAACATTCTCTTTTGAGGATTTCTTGCCTGCAACTATTTCCTGGTCAGCAGATGTTGTTGTTTCCGTTGAAACGAGCTGTTCACCAGTCTTTGCTTCTTCAACATTCTCATTTGTGGATTCCTTGCCTGCAACTATTTCCTGGTCAGCAGATGTTGTTGTTTCCGTTGAAACGAGCTGTTCATCAGTCTTTGCTTCTTCAACATTCTCTTTTGAGGATTCCTTGCCTGCAATTGTTTCCTGATCAGCAGATGTTGTTGATTCCGTGGAAACGATTTCATCAATCTTTCCTTCTTCAACATTCTCTTTTGTAGATTCATTTCCTGCAACTGTTTCCTGATCAGCAGATGTTGTTGTGTCCGTGGATACGAGCTCTTCATCAGTCTTTGCTTCTTCAACATTCTCTTTTGTGGATTCCTTCCCTGCAACTAATTCCTGGTAAGCAAAATTTGTTGTTTCATTAGAAACGAGTTCACCGGTCTTTGCTTCTTCAATATTCTCATTTAAAGATACCTTGCCTGCAACTATTTCCTGATCAGCAGATTTTGTTGCTTCCTTGGAAACGAGTTCACCAGTCTTTGCTTTTTCAACATTCTCATTTGTGGATTCCTTGCCTGCAACTATTTCCTGATCAGCAGATTTTGTTGCTTCCTTGGAAACGAGTTCATCAGTCTTTGCTTCTTCAACATTCTCATTTGTGGATTCCTTGCCTGCAACTATTTCCTGATCAGCAGATTTTGTTGCTTCCTTGGAAACGAGTTCATCAGTCTTTGCTTCTTCAACATTCTCTTTTGTGGATTCCTTCCCTGCAACTATTTCCTGGTCAGCAAATTTTGTTGTTTCAGCAGAAACGAGTTCACCGGTCTTTGCTTCATCAATATTCTCATTTGAAGATATCTTGCCTGCAACTACTTCCTGATCAGCAGATTTTGTTGCTTTCTTGGAAACGAGTTCACCAGTCTTTGCTTCTTCAACATTCTCATTTGTGGATTCCTTGCCTGCAACTATTTCCTGCTCAGCAGATTTTGTTGCTTCCTTGGAAACGAGTTCATCAGTCTTTGCTTCTTCAACATTCTCATTTGTGGATTCCTTGCCTGCAACTATTTCTTGATCAGCAGATTTTGTTGCTTCATTGGAAACGAGTTCATCAGTCTTTGCTTCTTCAACATTCTCATTTGTGGATTCCTTGCCTGCAATTATTTCCTGGTCAGAAGATTTTGTTGTTTCCTCGGAAATGAGTTGGGAAAGTTTTGTGTGTTCAACATTCTCATTTGTGGATTCTTTGTCTGCAACTATTTCCCGGTCAGCAGATGCTGGTGATTCTGTGGAAATGAGTTTAACAGTCTTTGCTACTTCAATATTCTCATTTTCTGATTCCTTTTCAATTCCAGAAAATTTAACTCCTTCCTGGTCAGCAGGTTTTGTTGCAACCATTGAAACGAGTTCATGAATTTTTGCAGCTACATTCTCATTTGTAGTTACCATGCTTTTAACCTCATTTTCATTTAAACTGCATGTAACCCCTTCAAGGTCAACAGATTTTGATGAAACCATGGAAATAAGTTCACGAATCTTTGCTTCTACATTCTCCTTTGTAGATTCCATGCTTGCAGGCTCATTTTCACTTCCTTCAAGGTCATCAGACTTTGAGCTAAGTATCAAAAGGAGTTGATGAATCTTCGCTTCAATATTATCATTTGAAGAATCGTTGCCTGCAACTTCTTCCTGCTCAGCAAATAATGTTGTTTCCATGGAAACGACTTCGCAAGTCTTAGCTTTCTCAACATTTTCATTTGTAGATTCCATGCCTGCGACTATTTCATCCTTAGCAGATTTTGTTGTTCCGTTGGAAAGGAGTTCATAAGTCTTTGCATCTTCAACATTATCATTTACGGATTCCTTGTCAGCAACCATTTTCTTGTCAACAAATTTTGTTGTTTCCGTGGAAACAAGCTGTTCACCAGTGTTTGCTTCTTCAACATTCTCATTTGTGGATTCCTTGCCTGTAATTATTCCTTGGTCAGCAGATTTTGTTGTTTCCGTGGAAGGGAGCACATCAGTCTGTGCATCTTCAACATTCTCATTTGTGGATTCCATACCTGCAAATATTTCCTGGTCGGCAGATTTTGTTGTTTCCATGGAAGTGAGTTCATCAGGCGTTGCTTCCTCAGCATTATCATTCGAAGATTCCTTGCCTGGAACTATTTCCTGGTCAGCAGATTTCATTGATTCAGAGGTAACAAGTTCATCAATCCTCGTTTCTTTAACATTTTCATTTGCTAATTTCTTCCCTGAAGCCTCCTTTTCAGTTCCACTAAATTCAACTCCTTCCTGATCAGCAGATTTTGTTGTAACTATTGAAATAAGTTCACGTATCTTTGCTTCTACATTCTCATTTGTAGTTTCCATGCTTGCAGTCTCCTTTTCATATCCACTTAATGTATCTCCCTCCAGTTCAGCAGATTTTGATATAAGTTTTGAAATGAGTTGATGAATCTTTGTTTTAACATTCTCATTCATTGATTCCTTGCCTGCAACTATTTCCTGGTTATCAGATTTTGTTGTTTCCGTGGAAACGAGTTCATCAATCTTTGCTTCTTCAACATTCTCATTTGTAGATTGCTTGCCTGCAACCATTTCCTTGTTAGCAGATGTTGTTGCTTCCGTGGAAACGAAATCACAAGTCTTTGCTTCTTCAGTATTTTCATTTGTGGATTCCCTGCCTGCAACTATTTCCTGGTCAGCAGATTTTGATTTTTCCATAGAAACGAGTTCAGAAGTGTTTGCATCTTCAATATTTTCATTTGTGGATTCCCTGCCTGCAACTATTTCCCTTTCAGGCGATTTTGTTGCTTCCATAGAAGTGAGTTCATTAGTCTTTGCTTCTTCAATATTTTCAATTGTTGATTCCTCGCCTGCAACTATTTCAGGATCAGGTGATTTTGTTGTATCTTTGGAAACGAATTGGTCATCAGTCTTTGCTTCTTCAACATTCTCATTTGTTGACTCCTTGCCTGGAATTATTCCCTGGTCTGCAGATTTTGTTGTTTCTGTGGAAGCGAGTCCACCAGTCTTTGCTTCTTCAACATTCTCAGTTGTGGATTCCTTACCTACAACTATATCCTGGTCCGCATATTTTATTTCATTGGAAACGAGTCCACAAGTTTTTGCTTCTTTAATATTTTCGTTCGTGGATTCTCTGTCTGCAATTACTTCCTGGTCAGCAGGTTTTGTTGTATTTGCTTCCTCAAGAGTCTCATTTGTTGATTCCTTGCCTGCAGCTATTTCGTTGTCAGTAGATTTTGTTGATTCCGTGGAAACAAGCTCATCAGTCTTTGCTTCTTCAACATTCTCATTTCCTGATTTCTTGCCCGCAGCCTCCTTTCCACTTTTACTAAATGCAAGTCCTTCCCGATCAGCAGATTTTGTTGTAACCATAGAAACAAGTTCACGTATCTTTGCTTCTACATTTTCATTTGAACTTTTCGTGCTTGCAGCCTCCTTTTCATTTCCACTTAATGCAACTCCTTCAATGACAGCAGACCTTGATGTAAGTATTGATAGGAGTTGATAAATATTTGCTTCAACATTTTCATTTGTGGATTCTTTGCCTGCAACTACTTCCTGGTCAGCAGATTTTGTTGTTACCATGGAAACGAGTTCATCAGTTTTGGTCATTTCGTTGCCTGCAACTATTTCCTGGTCAGCAGATTTTGATGTTTCCGATGCAACGAGGTCATCAGTTTTTGTTTCCTCAACATTCTCATTTGTGGATTCCCTGCCTGCAACCATTTCCTGTTCAGTAGGTTTTGTTGTTTCCATGGAACCATGTTCACCAGTCAATAATCCTTCAGCATTCTCATTTGTGGATTCCTTGCCTGCACTTATTTCCTGGTCAGTAGATTTTGTTGTTTCCATGGAAACGAGTTCATCAGTTTTGGTCATTTCCTTGCCTGCAACTATTTCCTGGTCAGCAGATTTTGATGTTTCTGTTGAAACAAGTTCATCAGTTTTTGTTTTCTCAACATTCTCACTTGTGGATTCCTTGCCTGCAACTATTTCCTGTTCAGTAGATTTTGTTGTTTCCGTTGAAACATGTTCATTAGTCTTTGCTTCTTCGGCATTCCCATTTGCAGATTCCTTGCCTGCAACTATTTCCAGGTCAGTAGATTTTGTTGTTTCTATTAAAACAGGTATCTCAGTCTTTGATTCTTCAATATTCTCGTTTAAAGATTCCTTGCCTGCAATTATTTTCTGGTCTACAGATTTTTTTGTTTCCATGGAAAGGAATTCACCAGTCTCTGCTTCTTCAACATTCTCACTTGCCGATTCCTTGCCTGCAATTATTTCCTGGTCAGTAGATTTTGTTGTTTCCATTGAAACAAGTATCTCAGTCTTTGATTCTTCAATATTTTCCTTTAAAGATTCCTTGCCTACAACAATTTCCTTGTCAGCAGATTTTGTTGACTCCTTGGAAACGAGTTCATAAGTCTTTGCTTCTTCACCATTATCATTTGCTGATTTTTTGACAGCAGTCTTCTTTTCAATTCTAGTAAATTCAACTCTTTCCTGGTCAGCAGATTTTGTTGAAACCATGGAAACAAGCTCATGAATCTTTGATTCTATATTTTCATTTGTAGTTTCTTTGCTTGCTGCCTCCTCTTCATTTCCAATTAATGTAACTCCTTCCAGGTCAGCAGATTTTGATGTAAGTATCGAAAAGATATCATGAATCTTTGCTTCAACATTCTCATTTGTGGATTCCTTGCCTGCAACTATTTCCTGGTCATCAATTTCCTCAGTCTTTGCTGCTTTAACAATCTCATTTGAAGATTCCTTTCCTGCAACTACTTCCTTGTCAGGAGATGTTGTTGTTTCCATGGAAACGAGTTCACAAGTCTTTGCTTCTTCCACATTCTCATTTGTGGATTCCTTGCCTGCAACTATTTCCTGGTCAGCAGATGTTGTTGTTTTCATAGAAACAAGTTCACAAGTCTTTAGTTCTTGAACATTCTCATTTGTGGATTCCTTGTCTGGGATTACTACCTGGTCAACAGATTCTGTTGTTTCCTTCGAATCGAGTTCTTCAGTCTTTGCTTCTTCAATATCATCCTTTTCTGATTCCTTGCATGCGGGCCTGTTTTTATTTTCACTTGATTTGTCTTCTTCCTTGTCAGCAAATTGTCTTGTTTCAAGGGAGAGAAGTTTAGGAGTCTTCGTTTCTTTAACATTCTCATTTACGGATTCCTTTCCTGCATCTTTTTCCTGGTCAGCAGATTTTGTTGTTTCTCTGGAAACGACTTCACCAGTATTTACTTCTTGGTAATTTTCATTTAAGGATCTCTTGCCTGCAACTATTTCCTGGACAACAGATTTTGTTGGACCCAGGGGAATGAGTACTTCAGTCTGTTCATCTTCATCGTACTCATTTGTGGATTCCTTACCTGCAACCATTTCCTGGTCAGCAGATGTTGTTGTTTCCTCGGAAACGAGTCCATCATTCTTTGCTTCTTCAATATTCTCATTTGTGGATTCCTTGCCTTCAATTATTTCCTGGTCGCGAGATTTCATTGTTTCCTCGGAAACGAGTTCACCATTCTTTTCTTCATCAAAATTTGCATTTGTGGATTCCTTTCCTGTAATTATTTCCTGTTCAGCAGATTTTGTTGATTCGGGGGGAAAAATTTCATCAGTCTTTGCTACTTTGACATTCTCATTTGAAGATTCCTCGCCTGCATCTATTTCCTGGTCAGCAGATTTTGTTGTTTCAATTGAACCGAGTTCATCAGTTTTTGTTTCTTTAACATTCTCATTTTTGGATTCCGTACCTTCAACTATATTCTGGTCAGCAGATTTTGATGTTTCCATGGAAATAATTTCACAAGTGTTTGCTTCTTCAACAATCTTATTTGTGGATTCATTTTCTGCAACTATTTCCTGATCAGCAGATTTTGTTGTTTTCATGGAAACATGTTCATCAGTCTTTGTTCCTTCAACATTCGCATTTGTCGTTTCCTTGCCTGCAACTATTTCCTGGTCATCAGATTTTGTTGATTCTGTTGAACCGAGTTCATCAGTTTTCATTTCTTCAACATTCTCATTTGTGAATTCCTTGCCTGCAACTATTTCCTGGTCAGCAGATTGTGTTGTTTCCGTCGAAACGAGTTTGTCAGTTTTGGTTTCTTCAACTTTCTCATTTGTTGATTCCTTGCCTCCAACTATTTCCTGGTCTGCAGATTTTGTTGCTTTCAACGAAACAAGTTCACAGGTATTTACTTCCTCAACATTCTCATTTATGGATTCAATTTCTGCAACTATTTCTTGGTCAGCAGATTTTGTTCTTTCCGTGGAATCATGTTCATCAGGCTTTGTTTCTTCAACACTCTCATTTGTAGTTTCCTTGCCTGCATCTATTTCTTGGTCATCAGATTTTGTTGTTTCCGTTAAACCGAGTTCATAAGTTTTTGTTTCTTCAACATTTTCATTTGTGGATTCCTTACTTGCAACTATTTCCTGGTCTCCAGATTTTGTTGTTTCCATGGAAACGAGTTCACAAGTGTTCGCCTCTTGAACAATCTTATTTGAGGATTCATTTTCTGGAACTATTTCTTGGTCAGCAGAATTTGGTGTTTCCATGGCAACATGTTCACCAATCTTTGGTTCTTCAATATTCTCATTTGTCGTTTCCTTACCTGAAACTTTTTCCTGGTCATCAAATTTTGTTGTTTCTCTTGAACCAAGTTCATCAGTTTTTATTCCTTCAACATTCTCATTTGGAGATTCCTTGCCTGAAACTGTTTCCTGGTCATCAGATTTTGTTGTTTCAGTTGAACCGAGTTCATCAGTTTTTATTTCTTCAACATTCTCCTTTGGGGATTCCTTGCCTGCAACTATTTCCTGGTCAGCAGATTTTGTTGTTTCCGTGCAAATAAGTTCATCAGTTTTTGCTTCTTCAACATTCTGATTTGTCGTTTCCTTGCCTAAATCTATTTCCTGGTCATCCGATTTTGTTGTTTCTGTTAAACCGAGTTCATCAGTTTCTATTTCTTCAACATTCTCATTTGTGGATTCCTTGCCTTCAACTATTTCCTGGTCAGCAGATTTTGTTGTTTCCCTGGAAACGAGTTTATCAGTCTTTGCTTCTCCAACATTCGCATTTGCCGATTCCTTGCCCTCGACTATTTCCTGGTCAGCAGATGTTATTGGTTCTGCGGAAACGAATTCCCCAGACTTTGTTTCTTGAACAATCTTATTTGTGGATTCATTTTCTTCAACTATTTCCTGGTCAACCGATTTTGCTCTTTCCATGGAAACAAGTTCCTCAGTCTTTGCTGCTTCAGCACTCTCCTCTAAAGATTTCTTGGCTGCTTTTGCTGTTTCCAAGGAAACATATACAGAAGTGTTTGCTTTTTGAACTATTTCCTGGTCATCCAATTTTGTTGTTTCTGTTGAACTGAGTTCATCAGTTTTTGTTTCTTCTACATTCTCAGTTGTGAATTCGTTGCCTATAACCATTTCCCTGTCAGCAGGTTTTGTTGTTTCAGTGAAAACGAGTTCATCAATCTTTGCTCCATCAACATTCTCATTTGTCATTTCCTTGCCTGCAACTATTTCCTGGTCATTAAATTTCCTGGTTTCTGTTGAACCGAGTTCATTATATTTTGTTTCTTCAACATTCTCATTTGCTGTTTCCTTGCCTTCAACTATTTCCTGGTCAGCAGATTGTATTGTTTCCGAAGAAAATAATTCATCAGACTCTGCTTCTTCAAAATTCTCCATTGGGGATTCCTTGCCTGCAACTATTTCCTTGTCAGTAGATTTTGTTGTTTCCATGCAAATAAGTTCATCAGTCTTTGCTTCTTCAACATTATCATTTGTCGTTTCCTTGCCTAAATCTATTTCTTGGTCATCCGATTTTGTTGTTTCTGTTGAACTAAGTTCATCAGTTTTCATTTCTTCAACATTCTCATTTGTGGATTTCTGGTCAGCAGATTTTGTTGTTTCCGTGGAAACGAGTTCATTAGTCTTTGCTTCTTCAACATTCTCAGTTGCTGATTCCTTGCCTTTGACTATTTCCTGGTCAGCAGATGTTATTGGTTCTGCAGAAACGAATTCATCAGACTTTGTTTCTTGAACAATCTTATTTGTGGATTCATTTTCTGCAACTATTTCCTGGTCAACAGATTTTGCTCTTTCCGTGGAATCAAGTTCCTCGGTCTTTGCTTCTTCAACACTCTCCTTTAAAGATTCCTTGGCTGCTTTTGCTATTTCCATGGAAACATATTCAGAAGTGTTTGCTTTTTGAACTATTTCCTGGTCATCCGATTTTGTTGTTTCTGCTGAATTGAGTTCATCAGTTTTTGTTTCTTCTACATTCTCATTTGTGAATTCGCTGCCTGCAACTATTTCCTGGTCAGCAGATTTTGTTGTTTCAGTGAAAACGATTCCATCAATCCTTGCTCCGTCAACATTCTCATTTATTGTTTCCTTGCCTGCAACTATATCCTGGTCATTAGATTTCCTGGTTTCTGTTGACCCGAGTTCATCATTTTTTGTTTCTTCAACATTCTCATTTGTTGTTTCCTTGCCTTTAACTTTTTCCTGGTCAGCAGATTGTATTGTTTCCGAGGAAAATAATTCATCAGACTCTGCTTCTTCAACATTCTCCATTGGGGATTCCTTGCCTGCAACTATTTCCTTGTCAGTAGATTTTGTTGTTTCCATGCAAATAAGTTCATCAGTCTTTGCTTCTTCAACATTATCATTTGTCATTCCCTTGCCTAAATCTATTTCTTGGTCATCCGATTTTGTTGTTTCTGTTGAATTGATTTCATCAGTTTTTATTTCTTCAACATTCTCATTTGTGGATTCCTTGCTTTCAACTATTTCCTGGTCAGCAGATTTTGTTGTTTCCGTGGAAACGAGTTTATTAGTCTTTGCTTCTTCAACATTCTCAGTTGCTGATTCTTTGCCTTTGACTATTTCCTGGTCAGCAGATGTTATTGGTTCTGCGGAAACGAATTCATCAGATATTGTTTCTTGAACAATCTTATTTGTGGATTCATTTTCTGCAACTATTTCCTGGTCAACAGATTTTGCGCTTTCCGTGGAATCAAGTTCCTCGGTCTTTGCTTCTTCAACACTCTCCTCTAAAGATTCCTTGGCTGCTTTTGCTATTTCCATGGAAACATATTCAGAAGTGTTTGCTTTTTGAACTATTTCCTGGTCATCCGATTTCTTGGTTTCTGTTGAACCGAGTTCATCATTTTTTAATTCTTCAACATTCACATTTGCTGTTTCCTTGCCTTCAACTATTTCCTGGTCAGTAGATTGTATTGTTCCCGAGGAAAAGAATTCATCAGACTCTGCTTCTTCAACATTCTCATTTGTGGATTTCTTGCCTGCAACTATTTCCTGTTCAGCAGATTTTGTTGTTTCCATGGAAACGACTTCAGAAGACTCATTGCATGGATCCTCCTTTTCATTTTCACTAAATTTAACTCTTTTCTGGATAGCAGATTTTGTTGGTTCCATGAGAACCTTCTCTGTGATGTCAAAAATCCCCGTCTTATGGTCCTCATCTTCTTCCGAGTTGTAGTCATTTTTAACACCTTCCTCATCTCCTGCATCTTTAACATTCTCATTTATGAGTTCCTCACCTGCAACCCCATTATAATTTCCAATAATGCCAACTCCTTTCCAGTCAGTTGATTTTGTTGATTCCATGGAAATATGCTCTGTGTTGTCATGTATCTCTGAGTAATGATACTCTTCTATTTCAGACTTGTAATCAATCTCATCATCGTCACTTTCTTTTGTTTTCTCAATGTTCTCATCTGTGAATTCCCTACGTGCAGCCTCCTTTTCATTTCCACTAAATTCAACTGCTTCCCATTCAGCAGATTTTATTGTTTCTATGGAAACATGCTCTGTTTTATCACAACCTTCCCAGTCATCTCCTTTTTCAACATTCTCATTTTTGGATTCCTGTCTTGCAATCTCAACTTCATTTCGACTAAATTCATCTCCTTCCTGTTCAACTGATTTTGCTGTTTCCGATGAAACATGCTCTGTCATATCACCCTTCTCTGGATAATGATCTTCATCTTTTTCTGAGTTATTTTCATTTTCATGCCCTTCCCTGTCTTTTGCCATGTTAACACTCTCATTTGTGGATTCCTGGACTGCATCCTCCTGTTCATCATTACTTAAATAAACTACCTTCCAGTCAGAAGATTTAGTTGTTATCATGGAAACATGCTCTGTAATGGCATTCATCTCTAGATCTAGGTCCTGATCTTTTTCCAAGATGTATTGATTCTCATCACCCTCCCCGTCTATTGGTTCTTCAACATTATCATCTTTGGATTCCTTGCCTGCAGCCTCATTTTCACTTCCAATAAATTCGAATCCTTCCCAGTCAGCAGATTTATTTGTTTCTATGGACACATGCTCTGTAATGTCATCCATCTCTGCATCGTGGTACTCATCTTCTTCCGAGATGTAGTCATTTCCATCAACCTCCCAACTTTCAGTTTCTTCAACATTCACATTTGCGGATTCATAGCATGTCACCTCCTTTTGATTTCCATTATATTTATCTCCTTTCCGATCTGCAGATTTTATTGTTTCTATGGAAACCTGCTCTGTGATGTCATCCATTTCTGGGTCCTGGTACACATCTTCTTCCGAGCTGTAGTCATTGTCATCACCCTCCCATTCTTTTGCTTCTCCAATATTCTCATTTGTAAATGTGTCCATCTCTGGGTCATGGCCTTCATCTTTTTCCAAGTTGTGGCCATTTCTTTCAACCTCCCCATCTTCTGCTTCTTGAATATTCTCATTTGTGGATTTCTTACCTGCAGGCTTCTTTTCATTTTCACTAAGTTTAACTCGCTTCCAGTCAACAGATTTTGTCATTTTCATTGAAACATGTTCTGTGATGTCATCCTTCTCTGGGTCATGTTTCTCATCTTTTTCTGAATTGTGGTCATTATCATCACCTACCCCATCTTCTGCTTCCTCAACATTTTCAGCCGTCTTTGCCTTCTTCTTCAAGCCCTGCATGTAGAACATATGTTTTTAGAGACCATATAATCAAATTGTGCAAAAACAGATATTGGTATATTCTCAAACCAAATAAATAAATCCATTGCTACGGAATGTGTTTTATAATGTTCAAGAAGAGCAGGTTAAAAAGAGATTTTTGTTCCCAATATTCATGTTTCTTTATCATATTCTATTGCCAAGTCGTTCTGATCATATTTTATAGTTTCTTGATCTTTGAATATCAAGTTTTCAAGTTGTACCTAGATATTGGCCTTTGACCTTAGAATGGCTTTGACCTCATGTCTCCTTAAAACGCCAATTACCAAGATATTGACCTTTCATCAGATGACCTAATCATTGTTCGCCAAGGGTCACAACAACCCAAAATGCATTAAAAACCTAATATCAACATATTGACCTCTGACCTTGGGATGACCTTGACTTTGAATAAAGTTGACCTCGACTTCATGTCAAGGGTCACAGCATAGGCCAAGGGTCTATGCTGTCTAGAACAAATTGCAAGGCATTTGCATTTGCAGGTCAAAATGTGAAAAGGTAATTGAAGCTTGCAAAACCTTCTAAAAAGTTTCCTTTCAAATTCTTTTTAAGTCACCATGCAAAACATGTATGTGCACGTGCCAACGGGAAGGTGTCAAAAATAGTTACAGAAGACAGCAAGAAAAAGACAACATCCAAGAGTACACCAGTCATAAGGAAAACAAACCAGAGTGAAAAGAAACAATGTATTATACACAACTCCACACACCATACAAGTGCCAATATTATAATCTCAGACCATCACACCAAGGGACATTTTATTCTTACTGAAATATTACAATACATTTTAAAAATTGATAGCCATTATAGGTTCCAATTTCAGAATATCTCAAGGGAAAGGGTTTTTGAGGCATTTTTTAGAAAAAGCAACAGACCTATTTTTCTGGATCAGTTTTTCATGCTGATAAAGATATTAAAAGATGACAGCTCAACGGGGTGGTCACGACACTGAATGTTAGCGTTTTTACCCCCCAAGAAAATTATTTTATGGGGTACTATAATATTAGTTCATAACTCAAAGGATATATAAACTATTGTTCTGAGTTCTACAGCATACATTGTTAGTACAGAGATGAATACTATCCTAAAGTTATAGGTTGATATCTTTGTTGGTTTCGGAAAAATACAATTAATTAGAAAAAAATATACAATTTTTGTCATTTTTTTCTTGCTTATTTTATATTTGTAGCTTCAAGCAAAATATGAAAATTTTAACAGCTCAAAGTAGTATTCTACCAACATTCCCAAGCTATGTGTGATATTGTAATACATCTATTATAGTGATGAAGTACTATTTTGTAATTTTAATATGACTTTATAGTGCCCTACCCCTGGTAAATAGAAGAAAGTTGGTTTTTTTTTCTGGTTTTAACATTTTATTGACTTCTTAGTTGAAGATACAATCAATTCTGCCAGTTAACCATGAGTAGCTTTACAATGGTTAACTATTCCCATGAATAGAGGGTTGGGACCTCAAAAATACCAGAACTGTTAAGTGGCATCCTTGGGCATCCCTCTTCAGAGCATTTTCCTAATACTCCGATAAAATCTGCAGGGGATACTATAAGAAACCTATATATGTAAGATACTAATGAAGGTACTGAATTTTCAGGATTGGGTCCTGGTATGGTAGGTAATCTGTATGACAAAAATGACAAAAAGAAAAAACTCTGTTGCCATAGTAACAAGAATACCACACTATTTGTTTCCTAAGAAATTGTGTTTTATAAGAGGTTTTGTCGTTCTCTTCATATTTAAAATTATGGTAAAGTAATCTTTTCTATTGTTTTATTGTTCTCTAAAACAGAAGTTGCTATGGCGACACATAGATCATAGAAAAAATCCTGGGATGATCTCTCTATTTGTCAGGAAATTAAAATGGAAACTGAAAAATGAGTTTCTTCCTACTGAATAGCAATTAATTTGGTAGACCAAGGCTGACACATACAAGAGAAAACGTTTATCAGTTCTATGTCATTTTGCTGCTATTTTTTTTATTTATCGTGCTCTGGGACTTATAACACCTAAATTTGGTGGAAATAATTTTGTCACTCCTGATTTGACCTGGAAAGGTTCAGGTAAGTTATCACAAACAATTTCAGACAGTTATATCTTTGATTATGACTATTTTCTGACCATGAAGACAGGTATACATGGATAATAAAGTCAATTGGACTCAGAGATATTTCACTAGCAATCAACCCATCAATATATTTTTTCAAAGTTGTTGACCTCATTTTCACCAAAAATGCAATCATTTTAACAATGTTTAATGCATTACTACAGTATTCTTTATTTTAATGTATCAAATAGCTCTTGAAAAGAAAACTGAATTCCCTAAGATAAGTGTTCCCCATGTTTTTCTCCTTTGAAAAAAGTCATGCTATCCATTAGTTTCAGTTCATTTTGGTCATCCAAATTCAGTGTCTTTAATGTCCCTGGAGCAATCCACTTTTCCTCTTAAGAAATAGAACATGTCTCAAAGCATATTCTAATTATGCATTCAACAATATAATTAAAGGTTTGGTTAAAAATTGGGTCAACATTTTTAGTAAAAAGTATGTTGATTGGGCCATTCCCTTTAACGGTGTCTCACATATTCGATCAAAACTTGCCATGCAAACATGTTAAACACATTAAAACGTAAACATAAACCAATTAGTCACTTCACTATGAAAGTGAGGGGCGTGCTGCGTGCATGGACTAACACAATATCAATGGTCATTTACTGTGTCAACTTAGTAACCCTTGCATATCGTGCTCACTCAAGTATTGAATAATTTTTTTATGATCTAAATGTTTGTGGTTTATAAAAAAAAGTGATATATTTTAGTTAGAAATACATTAATTAATATATTCATTCAAACAGCACTAGAATGTGGGAAGAAAGAGCAATGGTGACAAAATGCAGACAGAATCTTCCGTAAGGGTTTCAAACATTTCTGAACACAATCATACATGTACTTCATGTGTACTGTTATTTTTAGTGCTGTATTTATAGATATAATTTCACGAATTAAAATCATATTTTCCAGCAATGACTTCAAATTCGGAACCACACCCATATCACATTTTCTTCAATAACTCCAAACATGTGTAAACATTGACCATGTGCATATAAATTCAGATTTCACGAGCTCTTTCCTATTCCAGTACCTCATACACCCCTGCATGGATTTGAGTTGGATTCGCCTTTTATACGTGAGCCGACACACTCGCAAACGCTGATTGGATAAAGATTGCGAGAATCTTTAATATCACTTAGGTCTGATTAATCGTTATATTTACTTTTCTTGAAGATAATGAATAGATCTAAAAGATATACCCATGTTCATGGTCAGAAAATATTCATAATTCAAGTTAGAATTGTCTGAAGTTGTTTGCGATAACCTACATGCTCCTTTATAACATTATTATGTAAATACTATCAAATGTTTAGTCATGACAGTTGAAGTAAACTGAAGTCTTGGTATTTAAATGCAGAATCAGATCTATGTAGAGTAAACAAAATTGAAAGCAACATGTTCAGTTGACCTACCAATGTATTTTAGAGGTCGCAACGGTACTGAAAACCAGTACCGGTAACCGTCATGCTAATAACCATACCGTTACTGAAATACCGGTAAAAATATGTAAGATAAAATGCCAATGCGCTGCCACCCCCACTTTGTTCCTAACTCTCTCTGTAGCTTCTCAAGTCTATATGCATACATGGTGCAAGACTGATTTGAACCCATACTGATGAACTTCATGAAATAGAATGTAACTATCTTACGAATCAAGATGTATTTTTAGTTTTAAATTAAATGTATTACACATTTCAATCCATTTCTCATCCTTGTCAAGTGAACGTCAGTTCAGTGCAGCTGGCAACACCATCACTTCCAAACGGGCACGACTTCAACCTGATGTTGTCAATGCCTTGTTGTTCATAAATGACTATTATAAACATAATTCAGTTTCTGGATCTGACGTTGACACTACAACTACACCGGAACTGCCAAACATAACTACAACCAAATCTAAGCCTGAGCATGAAGCTACTACACCCGAACTGCCAAACATGGACATCACACCTGAACTGCCAAATATGGAAATCACACCTGAACTGCCAAACATGGAGATCTAAATGTCTATGTAAATGTACGCATCGTGAAAGTGGAAATTCAACGAAATAATTAATAAAAAACGACGTGCCTTTTATTTCCCCGGGGATTATCGTCGGTCAAATGACTCGGTCAAATGACAAATGACTCGTGCCCTAGTACATGGGACACTGTAGTACATTACTTATGCATGATGACCACCATAGTTTAGTTAATCAAATGAGATCAATTGATGATTATAATGTTTGGACTTTATGTCAATGTCCAGACTGGCCAACCTCTCTAGTATGTGATTACACTAGATTTCATTATGATACGAGTACTAAATTGAAAACTTACATATAAAATATCTTAAGTCCTATATTCTAGTAATA